GCCTCCCGAGCCTCTGGGATTACAGGGAAGCGCCACCACTCCTGCCACCATGCCCTGCCATCATGCCCGGCTTCAAACCTGCTCTGAATTCTTTGGGATAGGGCTGGGAAGCATTTAAGGAATTATTTGGCTCATGGGCACTAACTGGGAGGCCAGCAGCACAAGACTATAATCAGAGCAGATGGGGAGACTGAGACAGGAGAACCGCAAGTTCAAAGCCAGCCTTAGCAATTTGAGGAGTCCCTAAGCAACTTAGCAAGACCCTTTCTCTAAAAAATGAAAAGGGCTAGGGATGTAGCTTAATAGTAAAGTGCCCTGGGTTCAATTCCCAGTACCCCCCAAAACAAAACAAAAACGGAAAGACACACATTTGCTAAAAGAAAAAAAGGAAAAGTAGTGAGGACAGCAGACTGAAATGAGGGCTTCCTAGCCTCTGACCCCCAAATCCTAACCTGATCTTTAACTCCTTCCTTCCTGGGTTCAAGGTAAATCGAGGCTACCTTGCTCTAGAAGAACCCCAAACCTTTTGTCCAGAAATGCTCCTAGCTTGGGGCTCTGGTTCCCTTCACCCTCTAAGCCTAGCAACCCTGGGGGAGTGTGGCTGCCGCCCCTGTCCTCCAAAAGGCTGAGTTTGGGTGGTAGTTGTTGTTGCTTTGGTCGCTGAGCCCAAATCAGGAAGGGTATTTTGGGGGTATGAAAAAAATCTCAGTGGCTTGCTCTTCTCTTCATTCAAGTAAAATCTGACTATTATAAAGGTCAAAGTAAAAAAAGGTGAGGTGGTGGCATATATTGGACAAAGAATAGCAAGAGGGGAGGGGATTTATTGCTAAGCAACAGTCTTGCAGATGAGCCGCGGTGTGTGCTGTTTTTTTGAACCATACCATTGTGAATATTTCATCATTCTGTCATTATGGACCTTTTGTCACCTCTTTCATTGTGGAGCTTGGGAAGCTGGAGATTAGAGAGTTGAAACTGGGACCAGAACCCAAGTATATTCTTCCTCCTGCTACATTCACTGCTCCCACCCGCTCCTCCTGTTCCTGGGCTCTGCACCAGAAACCAGGGTGGAGGGTGGCCCTGGCCTAGGGTTGGCTCTGCATCCTTTATTCTCTGAGAGCAAGAGTTCTGCTATCCCCACACCAGAATTGCTGTGTGGATGAGCACAATGCCAGGCAGCCTACAACACTGGTGGCTCTTAGCTGCTCAGCTTTCATGAGTACTGAATTAGGAGCAAGGTGTCACCTGGTCCAATGGCAGTGGAAGGGAAGGGGGGAAGGGTCTAAGGATTGAGCTCCTGCCCAGGCATGGGTATGCCCTGGCATGGACTGTGTATTTGCCTAGGTGAGGGCCATTGTAACTCCCTCTCTCTTTAGCCTTCCTACCACTCCCACTTCTTCCCTTCATCCCACAGGACAAGTTGGGACCTGCTGCTTTGGGTTTTTGTGACTACAGGCCTTACTGAACACTTCTATTATGTGGATCTGGTCGTGTCACCCACCAACTGTCCCTCTCTCATAGCTTCTGATTGTCCAAAGCAAGAGTGGCAGTTCAGCTCCACTTCCAGGAGGGAGAATTGGAAGCTGTTGCTGCCACGTCCCAGGACATAGGCCCACCTGCCTACACGGTCATAGCTTGGTTTTGATCCTGATTTCTCTGCATTTTGGTGTCTCATTTTCCAAATACTGGGTAGAGGGAGAAGGGTGGCATGGGAGACAGGAGGTGGGATGTAGCCAAAAGGAAGTCGCCAGGATGTCCCTCTTCCATGCCCATCCCTCTTCTTGTTCCTGGGCGGCACCCAGTACCGACCCTGCCTCTGGGAGTAATAAGAGCTGGATTAGCTACGCCTGCCTCTGAGGACAGAGAAGTGTGGACCTTCTCTTTTACTCCTCTGAACCTCCCCATTGAAGTCTATCAACGGGCCTGTCTTAGAAAATTTCATGCCCTACCACTTTGGCCCCCCAGTAGCCATGATTATCCCACAGCTGTGGCTCCATAAAGGGAGAAGTTGGGAGCCCTAGGATAGAAGGGGGAGGAAGAAGTTTCTGTTTCAACTGTTTATTAATTCATGGGCTTGGATTTGTCACACCCCTTTCGGCCTGGGGCCCTCTTGATGAAGCATTTCAAATGTGGTTTCTTTTCACCCTGATAATTTATGTGCCTCCTCCTGCCCCAACTCTGCATGCCACAGAGGACTCCGCACCCATCCCAAGTCCCATTTAAACCCCTTTTCCTCATCTTAGCCCAAGAAGAAGCCGATTGCACCCTCTGAGCTGACCACACCCAAGATCGTGCCTTTTGACCTTCTGCCTGAGACTGAGCCCTTTGACCTGAAGCCTGAGACAGTACCTGAGCTCCCAGACTTTGAGCAGACACCTAGGACACTGCCCTATTATCCAGAGCCTGGGCCTCGGCCCATCCCAGAGGAGCCGACAGCTGGTGGGGGTATTTAGGGTCTCCTGGTCCACTGGGGCTGGTGGTCTGGGGTGTCTCTCCAGGCTGTCAGCTCACCGGTCATGGTCAGTGCCAGGATGGCCAACCCTTCCAAGTTACTGTCCCCTTTGTGGTTGGGTCATAAGCACTGGGAAGACACTCTCCAGTTATGCAGAGTTCAGATGAATGTGGTGTGTGCAGGGGGTGGGGTGGGAGGCAAAGGGAAGGGGCTTCCCCTTGTTCTTAGTATCTATTTAGATTTTTTTTGTCTCTTTCTTTTTTTTTTTTTCAATGCTAGGGATAAAACCCAGGGCCTCATGCCTGCTAGACAACCACTGTACCACTGAACTATACCCCCAGCCCTGGGTTTCTGCTTTAATAGCAGACATTCCCAGCACCAGGCTGCCCAAAGGCTGCCTTGCATGAAACTGCATGAAACTGTGCATGACTTCTGATCCTCTCTTCCCTTCCCCCTGCCACCGACTCCTCAGGGACAGGCCAGTTTGGCACAAAGCTTCTTTAGAGGGGGCCCTCATGAGGCCTAGGCCTGGGGTTTGTTCTGTGCTTTCTCCACCCCCCACCCTGTAGCTGAGGAAAATATTTACACTTATTTTTTCCAGTTTTTTTTTTTTTTCAAAGTTTTGCAAAGAGATCCCTTATGTTTGCTAGATCCTGTGTTGGGTGGGGCACCCAAAAGCGGCCAACTCGGAGAAGAGGCAGAAGAGGGACATTTTAACTGGCTCTGGTTTGGATCCTCTGCTGCCCTATACCACACAGTTTCTCAACTTATTTTTTTTTTTTCCTGATAATCTCCCGAAGGGGTCGTTTTACATACTTTCCCCCTTAATTTCCATCTCCCCCATGACATTTTTTTTTTTTTTAATATATGGCTTGGGGGTTAAACCCAGGGCCTCACATATAAAAGACAAGGGCTTTAACATTGAGCTACGTCATCATCCCTTTTAAATTTTTATTAATTATTATTATTATTTTTGTTACTAGGGATTGAACCCAGGGGTGCTTTACCGCTGAGCTACATCCCCAGCCTTTTTTATTTTTATTTTTTTTTTTATTTTGAGACGGTCTCATTAATGTGCTGAGGCTGGACTTGAACTCAAGATCCTTCTGCCTCAGCCTTCAGAGTTGCTGGAATTATAGCATACCCCACTGTGCCCAGCTCCTCCATGGATTTTTTTAATTAAGAAAAATTTTTTTTAGTTGTCAATGAACTTTCTCTTATTTATTTATATGTGGTGCTGAGAATTGAATTGAGTGACTCACATGCTAGGCAAGCGCTCCACCACTGAGCTACTACCCCAGCCCCATCCTCCATGAAATTTTAATGTAATGAATATACCATATGTCTGTTTGTGTACGGTAGGCTCTTTGCAGCACCACAAACAATCGTGCTAAGTCTCCCCTACTGCCAAAAATCAATTTGCACCCTCCTAGGGGCAATGTTATCCCTGTCTGAGAATGCAGACAGAAGGAAGGACCCTTCTGCATTTGATGTCTATCATCTCCCTATCTTGGCAACCTAAAGGGGAGGTCTTGGGGTTTTTTGTTTTGTTTTTAGGATGTTTTTTTTAATTTAATTTTTTTTTTTTAAGTTGTTAGTTGTTGACAGACCTTTCTTTTATTTATTTATATGCGGTGCTGAGGATTGAACCCAGGGCCTCACACATGCCAGGCAAGCACTCTACCACTGAGCCACAACTCCAGCCCAGGTTTTGGGTTTTTAAGATTCCCCCTTCATTTTTCTTCCATTATACATTCTCTTCACAATAAACAGACGCTGGGTCTCTGAATGATCTTTCCAGTGTCTTCCCCAGCAATGACTGGGACATATTAGTTAACACTAAGTAGGGAGGCTCCTACCCAGATCCCTGTGACACTTGTCCCTTCTTCCTAACAAATGTAAGTTGCTTGTCCAAGGGCCAGGTACACAGTAGGTGCTCACGTATATTATAATTTTTTTTTTTTTTTTTTTTGTTTTTTTTTTATTTTTTTTTTTTTTTTTTTTTTTTTTTTTAAGAGAGAGTGAGAGAGGGGGACAGAGAGAGAGAGAGAATTTTAACATTTATTTATTTTTTCTTAATTCTCGGCGGACACAACATCTTTGTTGGTATGTGGTGCTGCTGAGGATCGAACCCGGGCCGCACGCATGCTAGGCGAGCGCGCTACCGCTTGAGCCACATCCCAGCCCCCCGTATATTATAATTTTATAAAGATCTTCTTAAGCCATAAGATTGTAAGTTTCTATGGAGGGTTTAGAGGTGGTGGAAAAGACTGGGAACCTCCTTGGGTCTTCTCTATATCCATTATGGACTCATGCCTGCTGAGCTGTGTGTGCTTGCCAGGGGTTAGGGGAAGTTGTGCATGCTTTTGTTCGGACCTGGTCATTAAAGGTACCTCTGGAAACCAAGCCTGTTGGGAGTGGTGGTTTTGTTTAATAAAAATGGGAAAACAGAACAAGCAGAGGTGGCTGGCCTTGCCACCCCTGAGGCCCCTCCATTGGCTTAGGAGCTCTGCCAGGGAAGTAGGGGTGGGACAAAGGTGCCTGGCCTGTGTGCCCAGGCTTGGGGGAGGTGCTTTTGGATTGTGTTGATGGTCGTTGTAGCAACAGACCAACTGGGTGGGCCTAAGACTGCACTCCAAGGTTGTGAGTCATCAGGGAAACCTGACTTGGAAAAGGGAGAAAAGATAAACCCATTAATGGAGGGGAAAAGTTAGTGGTAGTATATGCTCCCCAGGGCCAGCCTACTGGACATTGTCCAGGGATTCAGGTCAAATTGTTTCTTCCCATCTCCTGACCCTCCACCAACAAGGCAGCTCCTCTTAGGAGGCCCACAATGAGTGAGGTTATATCTTCTAGGAACCTTTTCCCCTCTGGGGAGATTCCCCCAAATCCATAAATAAAGCCCCCTCATAGGGATTCTCCCCGTTATTGTAGTTTGAAGCCTTTCACTGAACAGTACTCCACTGGGAAGATGGGATTGGCTAGGGGGAGCCTACAGCTCTCTCCTTGGCACTTGTTTCTAAGTTCAGCTGGCAAAGACTTTATCTAGAAAGCCAGAGGCCAAGAAAATCAGCCTGCTTAGGGCCTTTAGGGGTTAGGGTGGAGCAGTGGGGAGAAGTGGGGAGGGGTGCAGGAGACAATATGGATTTGTTTTCCAGCAGCTGGGACTGTTTCCTGACTATTCCCTGCTGTCGTCCTTAATCCCTCCCCAGCACATCCACATTGTTTCAGCTTAGTGAAAGGAGGGGCTCTTCTCCACTGTGGTGGGATGTGGGTGGGTTTTTAGTCCTGAAGATTGTGAAGAAGAGATCAGAGCTGAAAATGTTTTGATCTTGGGGCTACAGAAACATTCTGGGTGGAAATGGGCAAGGTGGATGGAAGCAGATACTTTAGGTCTTAGTCCTAAATATGATGTGTAAGTTCTTCCTAGTGACATACATCCTGATTTAAGTCTCCAGTAGCAGGTTGGGAGAGGGTGACTGCAGGAGACCCCAAAGGGTACAACTGAAATCAGAAGGAATGCAGACAGAGATTGGGACCTCCCTGCTCAGAACCGGAAGAGGACCCCTTCAGTGCCTCAGTGAATAAGAGGCAGAGTGATGGACAGAATGCCCTAGAGATACAGGGATTGGCAGAATGCCTTAGGATGCCTGGGATAGCACTAAGCCACCCATGGCAGGTGGAGACTACAAATCCCAGCATGCCCTGTGTCCAGGTCACCTTGCCTGCTGGGAGGTGTAGTAGGATAACAGAACTGGAGGTGGCTTGGTGCCCAGCAGAGCTGGTGCCCAGTTGGGAGAAGAGGTGGAGTCAGCATTCCCTCTTTGTCCCTGCTAATGCTATTGACAGAGAGGGAAGGAAGTTGGGAGGAGGTGTTCCTAGTTTCAGTATAAACCAGGAAACTCGGGGGGGGGGGGGATGTGGATTGGAGGGAAGAGGAGGGGGGGGGGACAAATTTCTGTAGCAGGTGGTGCAAGAGATTCCAAATAGCTTGCATATAATGTGTATGTGTTCTCTACAAAAGGGGGTCAGTTCATGTTACCTCATCTTCTCAGGAGATGAGATTTTCTTACAACTTTAGGAAATTATCTCACAAAACCTTTAGGAAAAACTACTGTCTTACCAAGCTTGGTGGCATGGTACACACCAGTAATCACAGCTACTCAGACGCTTGAGAAGGAAGGATTGCAAATTTGAGGCCAGCCCGGGCAACTTATTGAGACACTGTCTCAAAATGAAAAAAGGGCTGGGGATGTAGCTCTGTGGTAGAGTGCCCCTGAGTTCAATCCCCGGTACCTAAAAAAAGAAACAACATCACTCATTTCTTTTTCTTTTTTATTTTTTAAATAAGTTTATTTATTTTTATGTGGTGTTGAGGATCAAACCCAGTGTCTCACACGTGCCAGGCAAGCACTAAGCCACAACCCCCAGCCCTAACATCTCTCATTTCTTTGTTTGAAGTACCTGTGGAGAGTCTGGGCTAAATAAGAGCTCCTGTTTACAAAAAAAATTCTGGATTGTCCTCTTTCCCTTTCTGTGCTCAGTGTCCTCTACTTTTTGGTGGTGCTGGTGGTGCTGGTGGTGGTAGGTTGGGGGTGATGCCTAAGTGATGATCCAGAATCAGGATCTTGGAAAATATTCTTAGAATGGAAAAACAGGTAGTGCTAGGTATTCCACGGGGAAGAGGAAAAAGCCAAGGGCTGGCTTAGCCCCAGCATCATGGGCAATCTGGAACTACCATCCTACCCCTCCCTGATTCCTTGAGTTCAGTCCTGGGGTAAGCAAGAATAGTTAAAGCAGTCCCTTGCCTGGGTCATGGTGCAAGCCTGCAATCCCAGCTACTCAGGACACTGAGGGTAGACAGAAAGTTCAAGGCCAGCCTGAGAAACTTAGGGAGACCCTGTGTCAAAATTTAAAAATAAGGGGCTGAGGTTATGGCTCAGCTGTAGAGTGCTCGCCTCGCACTTGCAAGGGCCTGGGTTCAATCCTCAGCACCACATATAAAAAAAAATAAAGATATATAAATATATATAAACACTTACCAAAAAATAAATTTTAAAAATTTTAAAAATTATATATATAAAAATAAAGCTATATATTATATATATATAAACACTTATCAAAAAATAAATGAAAAAATAAAAAATTTACAAAGGGCTATATAGATGTAGCTCAGTGGTAGAGCACCCCGAGTTCAATCCCACTAATGAAGAAAACAAAAGAAAAAAAGCAAACCCTCCCTCCCATGACAAATCAGGGAAGTCGGAAGAAATGTCAAGGCTAGGGAAAAAACATGTCCTTGGCTTCCAGCCAGCGTCTTCCTCTTTCCTCCATCACTTTCCACATGGGAGATGGATGATGACCACTGGTGGAGCTCAACAGTATGAGGGGGTCAAAGGAGGAGGGACGGGAAGGGGCAAGCTCTTCTTCCCCAAGGCTGGTTCTGAAATGGTTCAATTCGAGGAAACTCACTCCCTTAACTTTTATTTTCAAGCTACCCTACTTGGGGGCCGCGTGAGACTGGCTGTGAGCTCATCCTCCATCCTCCATCCCCTATCAACCTAAAGAGACTCTCGCAACCCCCCCTTGCTTTATGGCCTCATTTGGGCAGTGTGTGACTTAGAGCACTAGAGGGCGCTCTGTCACTTCGTAAGTTAGAGCGCTCGGGCAGGGTGGAGCGCAGCAGAGATATTCAAAGTGTAATTGTAATGCAGGTCGATTTCTGACCAGAAGCTCTGTTCCGTCCTTGTGCAGTCTGTATAATGATAATTCATTCAATGTACGTGTATGTAGTACCCACGATGTGCCCCGCTCTGTGCCAGGTGCTAGGGATACAAAGGTGACTAAATCAGACCGATTTCACGGCTACCTAGGTCTCTCTCCTCTCTCCGATTGCCACCGTCTCACCTCCAGTTAGCCCAGCGTTCCCCCAGCCTTCACCCTGCCTTCTTCCTTGGCCCCACTCTCATCTCCCCTTTCCTCTCCCCCTAGGATGAAGTGAAACTGCCGGCCAAACTGAGTGTCAGCAAGTCGCTGAAAGAGTCCGAGGCGCTGCCGGAGAAGGAGGGCGATGAGCTGGGAGAAGGAGAGCGGCCCGAGGAGGACACGGCAGCAGTTGAGCTGTCCTCGGATGAGGCGGTGGAGGTAGAGGAGGTCATTGAAGAGTCGCGTGCTGAGCGCATCAAGCGCAGCGGCCTGCGTCGCGTGGATGACTTCAAGAAGGCCTTCTCCAAGGAGAAGATGGAGAAGACCAAGGTGCGCACCCGTGAGAACCTGGAGAAGACCCGTCTCAAGACCAAGGAGAACCTGGAGAAGACTCGGCACACCCTGGAGAAGCGCATGAACAAGCTGGGCACGCGCCTGGTCCCAGCCGAGCGACGCGAGAAGCTCAAGACCTCTCGCGACAAGCTGCGCAAGTCCTTCACACCTGACCACGTGGTGTACGCACGCTCCAAGACCGCCGTGTACAAGGTGCCGCCCTTCACCTTCCACGTCAAGAAGATCCGAGAGGGCGAGGTGGAGGTGCTGAAGGCCACTGAGATGGTGGAGGTGGGCCCGGACGACGAGGAGGTCGGCGCTGAGCGAGGTGAGGCCACCGACCTGCTTCGCGGGAGCAGCCCCGATGTGCACACGCTGCTGGAGATCACCGAGGAGTCGGATGCAGTGCTGGTGGACAAGAGCGACAGCGACTGAGCAGGACGCAAGACCGGCGCCTCGCCCTGCCGCTCCCCACCCCTGACACCACCCCACTCCTTTCCCTTTTCAAACTTTCTCTTTCGCATTCTCTCTCAGCCCTGACCTGGTTGAGATTTTTCTAAGTTGAAAACACCTCCTCTCAAGGAACACCCCTCCAAGTCACAGCTGTTAGACTGGAGGGGGAGGCAGCCCCCCCACCATGGACACCCCCAATTTGGACATAGTCGGAATGGAAATGGGAAGAAAAGCCATCTGTGCCTTGTTTGTCCAATTTAGGGGATTCTAGAGGCAATTGCTAATTCCACGGTTGGGCCCCATGGCGGGGGTTGCCTGCCCCTCTGCACAGCACCCACTCCCAGCTGCATCATTCCTGCTCACTAAGCTCTTCCCCTTCCTTCTTATCCTCAACCCCAGAGGCTCCAAAACCACAATTACCAAGAGGAAAGCTCGAGCCCTAAAGAGGACCTTTGCCCACATGGAAGGGAGGTCTCCTACCAGAAGACCTGAGGGTGTTTGGGGGAGGACCCTCAGGAGTGAGGAAGAAAGGCAGAGTGAGCCTTGACCTTGGATGAGGGTCCAGCACAGGCTGTATCCACAAAGAGCCCCAACAAGGAAGCCTGGAAGCAAGCAGAACCTGGGGCCAGAGGGCTGTGGAGATGTGGAGAGCACGTAGCCGAGGGGGAGGGGCACGCTTACTTGTCTATGCATCTGCATGCAGGAGCACTTGGCTATGGCTTTGGGAAGGAGAATGGAAAACTAGGAAAAGTGAAAAGAGAAGTGGCCTCATTAGCGTCATGAGAAAACAGGACACGAATCCCATATTACTGGGGTTTTCAGGATAGCAGGACTATTTTCAGGAGCTGGAAGGGGGACAGTGTGAGAAACAGATGATCCAAAGAGGAGAGAGGTATGTTTTGCCTGATCCCTCAATTAGGGTCTGGGTGCTACCCTCAGAGGAAGCCTAGTTCTTAAAGCAGAGAAGATTCAGGTCCCAGAAGGGGGCAGCAGCAGGCTGTGGAGAGCTGGGAGTTAGGCGGAAGTCAGGCTGAAAATAGCCAGGTGCTAATGGCCAGGCCTGGAACAGAGAGCCAGAGGTGGAAGCCCGGGTGCCCAGTGCAGAGCAGCCAGCCCCAGCCCCAACCTTCTACAGGAGACCCCTCCCTAGAGCTGTAGAACTCTCCCAGACCTTGCTGGGTTCCTTGCCCTTAGGGGTGCCTTTCCTAAAACCTTGGGGACAAGGGAGTGCAGCTTCCAGTCTGAGGCCTGATTTCTGTAGTGCATTGCCTAGGTATCAGCAGCTTCAGTTCTTCTATTCCTTTCCAGAAGCAAGGACAACTCCTCCCCATAAGTCGAAGCCCCAAGGAAGGGCAGGAGGCTTCCCTTCTTTTCCTCCAACCTCCACCACCCCCTCCTTATCTTCCCAGCTTTGCTTTTTAGAATTTCAGCTAATTGTTTTAAAGGGTGGGGGTGGGGAGCCTGGGAACACAAACCTTTTATATAATACAAAGCTTTGCTTCCCCCCCCAACCCCCACCTTTTCCTTTTCTTGGTTCCCTTCTCTCCTCTGAATGGTTGGAGACACATCAGCTGAGGGAGGATGGGGATTGTGAGATAAGGTCCCTTGGTGCTGATGAAATGAAGGGGTCTGAGTTGTGGGCAGATGCAGTTTCTCACGGGCTCTGGGGAGCCCCTCATGTTGCTGTATCCTGGTGAGCAGCCCGACCAATAAACCTGCTTTTCTAAAATGATTTGTTCTAGGTTGTGTTCTCCAAGGCAGTTGCTTGGGATGAACTAAAGAGAACAGAAGGGAGCCAAACTGGAAAGGCTGGAGAGAGAAATGGAGGAGGAACTGGTTTTTTTTTTGTTTGTTTGTTTGTTTGTTTGTTTTTAAGAGAGAGAACTATTTAATTCTTTTTTTTTTTTTTTCAGTTTTCGGTGGACACAACATCTTTATTTTTATGTGGTGCTGAGGATCGAACCCAGCGCCCCGCTCATGCGGCACTTGACCACTGAGTCACATCTCGAGCCCTTTTTAGTTTTTATTTTGAGACAAAGTCTCACTAAGTTGCTTAGGGCCTTGCAAAGTTGAGGCTGGCCTCAAACTGGCAATCCTCTTGCCTTGGCCTCCTTAGTCTCTGGAATTGCAGTCATGAGCCACCATACCCAGCTGTTTGGGGCCTTTAGACTCTGCCAAGACTGGTTCTAAGCACTTTGGCATGGACTTGCTTATTTAATCAGACGATACTCCTATGAGGTAGAGTCTATCATTATTATCTCCATTTGGAAGAAGAGGAAAGAGTGACTTGTCTAAGGTCACACAGGTGGTAAGTGGCAGAGCTGGGATTCAAAGACAAGCAGCTTGGCTCCACAGTCTGTTTGAGGGTTACAGTCTATAACCCAAAATTTTTTGGAGTCATTCCCAGTCATCAGGGTGTTCATCCTCAGACATGCCCCCTCTTCCCAGTCTGAGCTTCTCACAAAAACTGCCCTAGAATCCAGTCTGGAGGAGGCATCCTGAGGAGGGGGACACTGGAAGAGCTGCCTCAGGGGGCTTGATATCAGAGGAAAGGACATCAGTGGATCCACACGGCATATTTCATTCTCCCCACACCCCTGGGGTGGGCACCTTTTCCTGTATGGCAGCCTCTCTTCCCTGTGAGCAGGTTGCCTACAGGTAATGAATTTCCTAGAGCAGTGGACTCCAATCATCATGTGGGTGTGCATCAGAATCACCTGAGGAAGGGCGTCCCTAATAAAAATGTCATCTCCTAGACCGTACCCCAACCTCCTGCCATTACCTCAAACAGGACGAATATTCCTTATGACCATACACCTCCAGGAGAGTACAGTGTTTTGACTTCTCACCAAAGGAAATGGACACTGATGCCGAAAATTCAGAGCCTGGGAGTCAGTGAACTTCTGCTGCCAGGAGAGACACACTAAGGATCTTATACTAGAACCTAGACAAGCAGCTGAGAAAAGCAGGGAATAATGGGAGGACTCCAGGGGCAGAGTAATGCTCTTCCCTGGGCTCAAGCCATACCTGGATTCTCCCCGCAGGCTTCTTCCATGAGCTACTCCACCCCACACTCCCAACCCCCCAGCCAGTCTATTTGCCCCTGATTCAATATCCATGAGTCACTTTGCTCTACTGTCCTTGTTACCAATTTGAGAGACAAAGTGGGTGCTTTCTCCCTCCCAGAATCATGGAACCACTAACAAAATTGAGCAGTGATCATGTAGTGAAGGAAAATTTATTCTTGGGCCAGAGAATACGAAAAAACTGAAAGAAAGAACTCTCAGATTGGCTTCCACCTGAACCAAAGATGAGGGTCTCTATGAGCCCCGCATGGTGGTGCACACCTGTAATCCCAGCAATTTGGAAGTCTGAGGCAGGAAGATTGCAAGTTAAAGTCTAGCCTGGGCAATTTAGCAAGGTCCTGTCTCAAAATAGAAAGGACTGAGAATTTAGTTTAGTGGTAAGGCACTCCTGAGTTCACTCCTCAGCACTTAAAGCAAAACAAAAACGAAACGGTTAGCAAAAAAGATGGCTTCTCAGGATTAAGGTATTTTTGCCTGGTGATGTCCTCACCCAGTTCTATTATGGCCACCACTTTATTAAGAATGGTCCTTATTCTTTGAACAGCCATTTTCCTGGGGACCCTGACACCCCATGGCCTGCCTTCTTTATTTCCCAGTGCTGGTTGCTGCTCCAGAACCCCTAGAGGAAATTCTAGTGTCTGAGGCAGGGATCTTAGTGGCAGGCATTGGGAAAACAGTCAACTGGCTGCCAGTAGGAGTTGATAGGCCTTCCAAGGCCCACATCCACACAGCGTCTTCCACCAACCAGTCCACCCTTCATTAGCATTATTTCCAGGGTTACAATCAGACAATAAAGTAGAGGTATTGTCTCCCAAATGATCCTGGAACCTGTAGAAGTCCCTCTATATTTGGGACCTATGGAAGTTCCTTTACAGCTTCAAGTCAAGTTATCAGGTTTCTAAGATCTAAGTCCAAGGTAACTCTCCTTGGTCCAGGAAAAGACAGCAGCAGCCCTCTTGGACTAGTTGAGTTTCTCATCTGCTCTCACCTGAAGCATGTCAACTGACTTTCCAATGTATTCCCCACCTTACTGCCAGAGATATGCACCAACAGTCCCCCACATACAGTGGTTTGACTTTATGACTATTCAAATTTAAGATAGTAAAACAATATGCCCTCAGTAGAACCTGTACTTTGAATTTTAATCTTTTCACAGGTTACCTGTATGTAATCTAATACTCTCAAGCAAAGGAAAACAACTGATACTCTACAGTGTACTTATACAGTGTATTGTATTCAGTAAATTACATAAGATATTGAGCATTTTTTTTTAAGACAGAGAGAGAGAGAGAGAACTTTTTTTAATATTTATTTTTTAGTTTTCGGCGGACACAACATCTTTGTTTCTATGTGATGCTGAGGATTGAACCCGAGCCGCACGCATGCCAGGCGTGCGTGCTACCGCTTGAGCCACATCCCCAGCCCAGATATTGAGCATTATTATAAAACAGGCATTGTATTGTGCTAGATGATTTCATTCCACTGCAGGCTAACGCAAATGTTCTAAACACATTTAAGGCAGGCTATTCAGTGGGCTGGGTGTATGAAATGTATTTTTTACTTATTTTCAATTTATGATGGGTTTATCTGGATGTAACCCCATTATAAGTCAAGAAACATCTTAATTTTCTTCCTTTTTTTTTTTTGGTGTTGGAGACTGAACCCAGGGCTGTATGCATGCCAGGCAAGCACTCTACCAACTGAGCTATATCCTCAGCCCCTGAATTTTCTTTTTTTAAAAAAACATGAATTGTGCTTTGAATACTTCCATTGACCAAAGAATTAAACTCCATGGCATGGCTCAGAAGGTCCTCTAAGAATCTGGTCCTTACCCCAGGTATTTCTGTTCTTCAACATGTTTTTTTTTTTTTCTTTCTTGGTATCAGTAATTGAACGGAGGAGCACTTAAGCTCTGAGCCACATCCCCAGCCCTTTTTGTTTTATTCTGAGTCAGGGTCTCAATAAATTGCTTAGGGCCTTGCTAAACTGCTGAAGCTGGCCTTGAATTTGCAATCCTCCTGCCTCAGCCTCCCAAATCAGTGGGATTACAGGCCTATAGGCTTTTGCTCAGGTTGTTCCCCCACTCTGGAATGGCCTCCCCATTTCTACTTCTCAGTTTATTTTATTTTTTTATTTTTCGCCATGCTGGGGATCAAGCCCAAGGCCTCACATATGCTAGGCAGGTGTTTTACCACTGAGCTCCACCTGGGGGTCACATATCTCTTAAATCACCTTCCTCCCCAGGCCCCACCCCTAGTCATGCTACTCATTCCCTTCTCAGTCTTCAGTAGGACTTTAGGTCAAGAAATACTTGTTGAATAACTGAACAAATTACAGGATTTTTTTTTTCCCTGGCAAGTGTTATAAAGTCACCTCAAACTGGTTTCAGCAAAAACAAAGCAAAACACCGAAGTTGAAAACAAACACAGAGGGAATTTATATAATTGAAAAAGTCCCATGGCAGGAGTTATAGCACATCTGAGGCCCTGGGTTTGATCCTCAGGACCACAAAAAAAATAATAATAATAAAATAAAATTGGCAAATTTTATTTGAAAAAAAAATTTCCCAGAAATAAGTTCTAGGATCACTAGGAATCTCTCTCTTCTACCTTCTCTCTGTGTTTGTTACAACACAGTAATGTATATTAATAATCATATTCTTCCCACATGGTGGCAAAGATAACCATGAATAGGTACAGACTTATGGCCTGACAGCTGAGCAGCCTCAGTAAACAGGAATTCTTTCCAAATCCTTCCAGCCAGACTCTCAGATATGATGGCCATTGACTCCAATAGGTCACATATCCAAATCACTGTGCCTCTGACAAAACAGAGGTCATGTGATCACTTGTAGAACTCACCTGAAACAATTAAGAATGAAGGGCTGGGGTTGTGGCACAGTGGTAGAGTGAGTGCCCACCTAGCCCGAGTGAGGCCCTGGGTTTGATCCTCAGCACCACACAAAATAAAATAAGGTGTGTGTCCAACTACAACTAAAAAATAAGTATTCAAGAAAAAAAAATGAAGAGGGCTGGGGATGTAGCTCAGTTGGTAGAGTGCTTGTCTCTCATGCACAAGCCCTGGGTTCAATCCCCAGCACCACAAAAATAAATAAATAAGTAAATAAATAAAATAAAGGCATGCTGTCCATCTATAACTACAAATTTTTTTTTTTAAATGAAGAAAAGAAAAGGGCTGGAGTTGTGGCTCAGTGGTAGAGTGCTTGCCTGACATGCGTGAAACACTGGATTTGATCCTCAGCACCACATGAAAATAAATTAAATAAAGGTATTGTGTCCATCTAATATATGAAGAAAATAATGAAGAAAAAGCTGGGCAATTTTTCACCGCTTCTATTTAACACAGTCCTGGAAACTCTAGCCAGAGCAATTAGACAAACAATTAGACAAAAGAAATCAAAGGGATACGAATAGAAAAAGAAGAACTCAAACTATCACTATTTGCTGAAAACATGATTCTATATCTAGAGGATCCAAAAAAATTCCACCAGAAAACTTCTGGAACTAATAAATGAATTCAGCGAAGTAGTAGGATATAAAAATCAACACCCATAAATCAAATACATTTCTGTATATCAGTGACAAATTTTCTGAAAGAGAAGTTGGGAATCTACCCCATTTACAAA